TATTATGCATATTTCATTACTTAGTAATTTGTAGCTAAATGTAATTTCCAAAATACACAATTTACCAAAAAAAAAAAAAAACCGAGCAAAGCTCGGTCCTCCAGGTACTTACATTTATACGTTGTAACGTCTGTTAGTGTTTGTATTTTATAATATAAGAAAACAATATCTGCCGAGCCCGCGATCGATTGACCTTACACAGATTAATTTGCGTTTAATTTATGAACAATTGTGTTAAATTTGATTTTTATAATTACTCGCGGCAAAACAACGCGCCTGCGTAACAAATTACGTGCGTAGACGAATCGAAAATTGTTGGTGTCGCTTGCCAGATTAGATAGCGTCGACACGGCTTTGTTTGCACATGGTGGCCGTGTTAGCTTAAGCCCCGGTGTTGACTGACGCACTACAATGACACCAAATTTAGATAGGCGCAATGCTATTCATCCTTATTCGATGACAATATGAAGCATCATTGTTTGCGCCCAGTTTATTATCGTTAGCCGACCATTATTGGACGGGACGCTTCAAAATGCTCCGGTAGTTCAATCACGACGGCTTGTCTCGATTTGTTAACGCAAGGAGTTATGTCTAAAACTGGCTAACAGCGTCATTGAAACACAAGTGGTCATTTATCTAAGACGAATGCAAGTGCGTCTTAGGGTATTCAGACACTTCGATTAAGAAGTACTCGTAAGGCTATTGTACAAGGCTCGAAAGGGTAGACTCTGGTCGTCCGGGGAAGAACCAAGGCCTAATAGAAGATAGTTATGCTTTCGCGTTTCGTCTGGTGAGTGTGGTAGCCATAGCCGTTATTATCAATCAAGTCAAGTCTACGCATATGTCCTGTAAGGTGTCGTAGATGTCTATGGGCCGCGGTATTAACTTATTATCAGGCGAATCGCAAGCTCGTTAGAAATTTAAAATAAAAAAAAAAAAGACAATCTTTTTTTCACCAAATTAATTTATTTATTCATTAACGAAAAAAAGTTGATCTTGTGCTGTAATTTTGAATGTATTATAATTTAAATTGGAAACAGAGAGAGTAAAGTATTATATTGTAGGGACTAAAACTTAGCAGATTTGTTACATAACATATGCATACCAGGTTGTTTGTATAACGCGTTGTATTATATTATTTAGAAAAAAAATTGGAAAGTCTAAAGTAATTAGAATGTCGTTTATAAAATTATTAAATAATATTGACCCTAAATAGGACCCTTTAAGAACTCTGGATTCTAAAGAAAATGGAGATGACAAAAAACCGTTAATAATAACTGCTTGTTAGCGAAATTTTAAATATATATGAAACCAACGCAATTAACCACCGGAAATGCCAAACATTGATAGTATGCGAATAGGATGTCATGGTCAACTGTGTCTTATGGCTTGCAAAAGTCTGTAGAAACAACGTCTATCTGAATTCGAATAGTATCGAAAATTGTTACTTATCGTTATAGCAAGAAAAATGTGGTTGATTGTTGATATTTAATATGCTTTCCCAAAATTTAAATTGCTTTTGAATATTATTAAAACGAATTTTTTATGCCAACCAATGTGTCCTTGTAACCGGAGCCCACTTTATTCAAAGCTGGCAACGCATCTGCATCGCTACGGTTACAGCAAACGTCCATGGGTGGTGGGTTATCACTTGACAATAGGTGAACCGCAAGCTCGCTTGCCATCTTCTTACAAAAAGAAATATTATAACGCAGGTAATTCAGTGCGGTATTCGAAAACCGTTCAGGGTTCGTTTATTTACCATTTGTCTATTACACCTAAATCCACAACGTGGATTCATTAGCCGTGTTAATTTTGGCTAAGCAATTTTGTTCCAGACAAATACGAGCGCCGCCCGTTCCTAGCGTGCGGGCTAGCTAAATAAAATTTGTCGGTTTCAATTAAACACGACATGAGAGAAACCCAACCGACGGTATTCGCTTTCTAGGCCAGTGCCGTGAGTCGGGATGCAGTTTGCCTGAGATAGAACGGAGCAGGGTTGCGGTGTCGGTGTCGCGTTATTTCCCAGATAATAAGATGATAACTCTTCGCGTATATATTTTATCTGAAACCAATTCATTTTCATCCGATTCACGCAGAAGGAACGTACCGTATGAATAAACAAACTGTGGCACGGATTAACTATGACTTCAGAACGCAAAAGCTGTCTCTCTTATGAATCTGGGCGTTGTTCAGTACGTCTTAGGAAAGCCGCGAGGTTAATTGGAATATATCCCGTGATAGCGTTTAACTTAACAATGTAGTGATCGCGTGAAAACAAGAAATGTGCTGCAGTTTTGCTGTAATAATTTATTTATGTGAATAACACGCAGACATAAAACATTCGCGACAAGCGCAAGTATAACTTGTTTTTGCCGTTTACGACGAATGTCCTAAAATACCGATCTCAATTCGTCCAAATGAAAAAAAAAACAGAAAAAAAATTAGCCGTAAGTGTCGGTGAAAGTCGTTGAACTTTGGCCGTAACGTCTGAAGAGATAAGAATATATAAAATGAAAATATCATCGGCGAACGCGCGGGGGGCGCCCTGGCGGCGCCTCTGACGCTTTTGGCAACCGGCGACCGACCAGTTATGTTCGCGGAATATAGCAGTTTGATACGTTCGCATCGGTATACTTCGGAAACTTTGCTACGCTAATAAAGATATATTCGAAAGTTACGTAATACTTTTTGGAGTTTCTGTACTGCAACATGAGTATTCGCTCGGATATTTTCATGCGGAAGCCGAAACTGAGATGATATTATTGTCGGTTGCCTATTTCCATGATACTGCCAAGATATTTATTTATTGTTCTGCTATGTATAATATTTGATAGCGTATTATTTGGTCAGTAAACCCCTTCGAGTATTTATGCATACGTGCGTACATAACAAGCCACATCTCTGCTCGAAGTGTAAACGGTGAAGACTTTCCATATTTATTTTTATTCGTAGTGAATTGATGCAGCTGGACCTGTCGCGTCCCATGCAAACAATGTCTCACCTAAAACAACGTGTATTATCTATCTATCGCATAGTTATGTTCATGCATGAGTAGAAACACTAACAAACATCATTAGTGGTTGGTTAGGTTTATTCGACTGCCTACTATTACATTCCTTACGTGTTAAATGCCATCGCAGAAGTAGAAGACGTGTAATATGATTCGGCCTTGATTTAGTTTATTCATTTCTACCGTGTATTGAGCTCGTTACGATGTCATGTCGCGATAATGCTGTTTGTGTTTGTTTCCTTTGTTTTTGTTTAGTATCCGAATGAAAGTTATGAAATATGCTCGCATCAATTTATGTTTAGCGAATTGGTATAAATTTCCTCTTAATTATGTTTAGTTAAATTGGAATAAGGTTAATTTTTGATGCAATTGTTTATGTAATTGGTTTGCAAATTTAGTACTGTTCTGAGTAGGGCTGGCGGGAATCTTAGCGATAAAGTAGGCATTACTTTTATTAAGAGTTGTACAAGTACTATATATAAAGCATAAGTACAAAATGAGGAACAATTAAGAATAATGTATGTGTCGAACTCTGCCCACTGTAGGCCTCAATAATTTTATTAGTAGCATAATAGGCATATCCCATTAAGAATACTTTACCTGCTTTCCTAAAGTAATGTGCACTCAAAGGTTTTTGTCTATAATTGTTTCAATTAACCTTTGATCGTTATACATGTCATATTTGTACGCGTACTTACTTGACTTTCTATACACCAACCCAAGGCTACGGTTAGCCGTTTTAAAGACTGATACTTAACTTAGTATAAGTCATAAAGTTTAAATACATAAAGTTATGTCATGGCTTTTTGTAAGTTTAACTAGTATCCGTAAAAAATATGCATGCTTCCGTGTCATTGCTAGTTATTTTTAGTCCATTTCATCGCCCCAGATGCTCAGTGTTCGTAACTAGATCAATGGCAGGATTTTGTCACATGATTGGAATGCTTTAGAAATGACCATTTACAGCATCAATTAAATATTAATAAAAATAAGTGAAAGATTAATGAGCAGATTGTTGCAAGACGATATTTAATAGATCATATTTTATGAGCTGTGAAATGATGTGACATTATTTTAATCTACTTTGTTACTTAATATTATCATTATGGCGATAAGATATTTGCATTCCTTTGTTTTTAATAAAATTAAATGAGTTTTTCATGTGTTATAGATGTAGAAGTTGAGAGATATTAGAAGATATTTGTTGTATTTTTCTAGTTCTGAAAACCACGACTGTCCAATGAGATTAGTTGGACAGAGTTTGATGAGATTAATTCGTCTGAATCCACTTTTACCACCTGTTATTTTTTTTTGATCTGTATATAGTTAAGTGGATAGAAATACACGATAAGTCCCACACGAGGGAATGACTAGGGTTCAAGTATCTATTTAGGAGAAAGCGTCTTACTTAATACCAACTTGCAATATGTTTTATTATTATTTTTTTCTAGATTGTATCCAGTGATTCATACTTAAGAAATGGATAAACATTTATCACACCTTCCACGACCTAAAATACAAGAAAAAAAGACGTTGGGAGAAACTTGAATTTACGCTAACACGCGATCGCCCATTAAGACGAGTTATTGTCTATTGGATAGTTATTTAAAGGGACGTGTTAGCGTGTCTTGCTGTTGTAAATCGAGTTATTAATTGCGGATTATGCGATCCTTACTTAATAGCCCATTTCCTTGCTTATGTGCGTGCGAGGCAATAAGTTGCGTTATAAGAGCCATTATGTGTGTGCACAGCCAAGTATTGCTATCGGGATATTCGCAAGGCTAATGGAAATTTGATTAACGTCAACCCGCAAACTCTAAACATCGCATTGGTTTTTATCGAACACACCTTGAGGCCCTGTTGTGTTGTTTCTGGTTGTGTGTGAGATCTAGTTTTATTTGCACTGTTCGTTGTTGTTGAAGGTTGCGTTTCTTTTTTGTTCGCAGGCGTGACAATGAGAGAAAAAAGGGGGGGCGCTATGAGCAAAATGCAAAAGCTTAGAAAGCGCCTGTCCCTTAGCTTCGGTAGATTATGTGAGTATCAGAATTGGCTTTACAATTAATCTAACAAATAAACGGAATGTTACCCGGAAATCGATTACTGTCAAACAAAATTTTAAACGATGCATCGTCGACACATATTTATGTAAGCAAAGCTCGAATAAAATCTTGTTAATGTTCATTAGTATGTATTACATGCATGTTTTGAAAATTGGCCGCATATTCCAAAGTACGTGTATTGGTATTTGAAGAAGATAAAATAAAAATGATAAACGTTGTTATTTCAGTGTAATGTGTAATATAAAGCATTTGCTAGCGTGTTATTATCATGTACTTACCGAAATAGCATTATAAACGAAACCTACGGAGCGCAAATAAACGCGATATTTTCGTTGCGCGTGTTCCCAAAATAGCGCGCGTTGTAGCGGCGGTGTTATTGAATGTGACGTGTTGTATACAAGCGCTTCATCGCTTTCAAATATCACGTGCTTCATTACACTCGTAATGTGAGTACATGTTTTAATTGGTTAATCCAGCTGTTGCGCACTGTGGGGTTATTGTGCGAGAATCGGAAAACCAGAAGTATTTCCAGGCTGTTAGATATAACTAAACCGCATCGATATTAGTTTTGTATGTCGGGTAATTTTTGTGTGTGTGATTTGTGCGTGAAGTAGTAGTGTGCTCTTGGTCAATCTTAGTTCTTTGGTAATAGAGATTATATTCTTTCTTTATATTCTCTCGCATTCAAGAATGGCCTATCAGATGTGAGCAAATATCAATCAGGGCACTACGTTAAATTGGGCCCTTTTTCGATCACTTTTTACATAACTATATAAAGTGGTCTTTATCAATGTTTTACTTAACAATCATAAAATGCCTTTAATCTTCATTAATATATAATAATATTAATAACATTTACGCATTTGGTAATATCAACGCAAAAGGTATACGATGACGAATTGTATGAACGCTGTCCAAGATAGAACGTAAGCGACTGTGGAATTACCTGTTATTATATTGACATTTCGAACGAGCATTGTTATATAATAGGGGATGATAATTATATAACGTGTTATTTAAGTTGGATAAAATAAAATGTCTAGCAGCGCATTAAAGGTAAACCGAGAATGCTTATCTTTACGATAGCTTGGGTTTTTTTAAAGGAAAGATGGTTCATTTCATTTTAATTCATTTTATTTTAAGTCGCTCACTAGAAGACGCGCATTAGTATCTGGATTATTATATTCTCGGAAATTTCTGAATTAAAAATCTTTATTATATTCTCGGAAAAGTAAACTGTCAGTCTCGGTACATCCCTAACACGCCGCCCTTGCTGTCCACAATGTGAAACTTCGTCGGAAATCACTTTTTACAGTTGATGTATTTTTTTTTAATTTTCCACGTCAGTATAAAAATACGATTTAAAGTAGACGGGCCATTCCATCAGGCTATCCAAGATATAATATAAACAGGTAGATTTTTACAAGAGGTACAAGATTTTTTAGATCCACAATATTGTTACAATAGTTTCTATTAATAATTTATGGATTAAGACCTTAAAAAAAACCTAATTACAATTCAAATTCATTGGGTTTTATCCACTGCCGATTCAGCTTGTATTAAATACAGAATCTAATCAGAAGATTAATACTCCAGAACATTAGAAACATGTCTTTACGGTAATTCTTTATCGTACAGATTACACTGCTTTGGAATACCTACCTTGAAGACATACGTACGTAAAGGATTGTACAAAAAACACAGGTCTCATTTAAAAACGCATGGTACGAGATTATTATTTACTGAAGGATAAAAGGAATTAGTATGGTGGATATTTTCGTTGAGTTACTCAGTTCAAATATCATTTTATAATTAACAATAATTACGAGTAACATATGTGTTTGGGGAATGTTTATATGGAATGTCAGCGTATGCAAAGCTTTTTTCCTTGTATGAAGTGCACGCACCTGGTTCACTCTAAGGTTTTTTACTTTTATTGATTAATTAACCTTTGATCATTATGCATGTTATATCTGTGCGTGTACTTGACTTTCTCTACATCAATCTAAGGCTACTGTTTTAAAATTCCGTTGGTTGGGTTAAGTATAATTCATAAAGTTAAATACCCAAAATTATATCATGGCTTTGGGTCGTTTTATTCTATTATTCGGAGAAATATTGGTATAACTGCATAGTATTTACTGAGCTAGTGCGTCTACTAAGAAATAAGAAGCGAATCTTTAGCGTAACAAAATTAGCTAACTAAACATTTTATGAAAGAGATAAAAACAGTTTGTGACAACAAAAGAAATTCAATTTTGTAACCGATTACAACTAGTCTTTTACAACTAGTCTATTTGCCAATGCATCTTTTACTACACTTCTGTTGCAGACAGGCAACAAGATCACTCCAAATTAAATCAAGATCACCATTTAAATTTCTTTCGAACTTCAGTTAGTCTATTTCCAATATTAATTTGTACGTCGTAAACTGCTAAGGGCCTGAATATTCTCCTTATTTAAATAAACTTTCACAGAAAGATCCGTTGTAAATCTTCATTTAAAATCTCGGCTATGTTCTTTCCCTTCCTCTACCGTCTCGGAGCGTTTTCCTGAAAGGGCCATTTACCCTCTTGAGACGACAAGTTTCCCTTAGCACCTCTTAGTGATATTTTCTCAAGTGTTATTTTTTCTTTTTTGTTGTCGATTTTCCTCTAAGCTCACTTAAGTTTATCGTCAATTTGCATGTCTCAAGTTTCTATGGAATGTGGTGAGAGGTGCTTCAGAGAATTTGGATAAAATAAACAATTTTCAAAGACTTGACCAAATTATCGCGCATCGTCATTCCATGGAAAGATAATTGAGTTTGGCTTTCTGATTTATTGTACTGTTATATCTTTCGCAAGACATCGCTAACCATATAAAAACACCGGTAATTCTAAATAAGGAGCGTCGTGTAACACTTTGAAGCACAGTTATTTGTCTCCGTATTGGTATGTGAGTAATTATTTTATTTATATCGTTTGTGTTATTTTATTTTAGTTGCATGACGTAAATTATAATCTTTATCCTTTTTGAGATGACGTGTTTTATAGTGATTTTTTAAAGTTATTTCTGCACTTTTTCTATTGTTATCTAATCGGTTATGCGTATGTATTTCCGAGTTCGATACGAAACTTCTTATCGATTGAGCTCTAAAGCAACGGTTAGGTCTCATCGGTTCACGCTTATCGGCCACTAACTTCTTTACCATGATTATGACATATTTCTGGTATTATACGATATTTGTTAATATCGTATTTACTGTCATCAATTTCCGTTATTTGTCTTAAAATAAATTCAAATTGCTAGTTGATTATAACGCATATGTAAAGGTTATCTCTTTAATCTTAGCCTATTTAAATATTTTGACAATAAATTTTGTAGTGTATTGTTTTGAAAAAACAAATGTTTCATAAAGAATTTTTTTCCTTTAGGAAAAGAAGCCATGAATGTGAAAAAAAGTAAAGTAAAGTAACGGCCTATACATGTCCCACTGCTGGGCAAAGGCCTCCTCTATACAGAGGGTATCAGGGCATAGTTCACCACGCGGCCCCACTGCGGATTGGCGGACTTCACATATCTTCGAAATATATATTTTTTTTGTTATTATTTCGAAAATATGCAGGTTTCCTCACGATGTTTTCCTTCACCGCGGAGCACGTGACAAGACAGCACTTAAAGTTAAAAACTTCATTGGTGCCGGCACCGGGGATCGAACTCAGGTTGCTCGAGTATATTGAATTAAAGGCGAGTGCCCGGACACTGAGCTATCACGGCTCTCATCATGAATGTGAGTTGCTGTTAAAATAAATGTGATAACCTTTGCGCCAAACAGTATATGATAGGTATTCTGGCAACAATATAGTCGTGGGTCATGATTTTTAGGTCGACGATTATCACATATAATCAAAAAATAGAACAACAACAACAAAAAATAACAACAAAACTAAAAGCTATTAATAATGAAAAAAATTGGATTCTTAAAAAGAACTTCACCCTATAAATAATAATGAGTTTATTTTAAGACTTGCTAATTGAAACGAAAAGAAGTCGAAACTCTACCCAGACTGAAAAATAAACATCTTTAACGATATGAGCGGTGGCCGCCTGTCTCATTAGAGTTATTTAATGCCGGGAGGGAAAGTAATTAGTACATTCGCCTACCGTAGCTCACCATAGATTAACACCATACTTTTTTCTTAGTTGATTTAAATGAATCAAGTCAAATAATTGGGAACAAAATATTCTTTGAACATAGAGTAAGTACTAAGTAAGTCTAACAGCCTAACATTACATATTTTCCCCCGTTTTAAGAATATAATAGTTATTAAAGTCTATACGAAGTTTTTAAACTCTGACATAATAGAAACGATTTTTATTTGCCATATGTCGAAGCTATGTAGATATGAAAACAAAAGTGTATAGTCATAACTAGCTTCAGTTTTGTACTCTGTCTGTTTATAAAGTTCTACTCAACAATGTATCGTATAATATTTTATTACTCATAAATTCCAGGCTTGTTTATAATTCTGAAATGTACGCTTAATAAAATATTGGCATTAAGAGATTGTTTTGGTCGGTTTAATTTGTCTATTTATGTGACAAGAAATTTGGTTCCACATTATTCATTGTTATTTATTTTTAATTTTCATTATTCACTTAGTAATTGTTCACTAGTTCTCTTCTCTTTATTCGGCCCTTATTGCACTTCAATGTAATCGGCACAACATGTGAATCTTGTTGATGTAAAGGCTTTTGTTTTTTTACAACTTACCTCGCGCCTGACGTCAACCATCCTTGGGAACCAACTACAAGTTCCGGAACAAGTATCCGCCTTTCACACAACTACTTGTCCAATTTTGTAACCAATAAACTTGTATAAAAAAAAAAACGAGATTGGAACCTAGAACCACGGCGCCGAAGCCGATGGTATAGCAGCTTGCACGGTTCTATCTTGCACGGTGTATGCAAATTACCTTCACCATTTCATT